TTACGGCGTTTTTTTTTTTTTTTTTTGAGTAATAAAGAAATCAACTGGAAGATATCATTGCTCCAGCTGGAGAGTAGATGTTTTCAACTGGAATAAAACATGTCGTAAATTAGTTCTCCGACCGGTGGAAGCTATAAAACCTATTTTCAGGCGTCGTAGGGTGGCCTAGAAATTTTTCCCTACGAACGTTCACGACAAATATTCCGAGTTTTGATTTTTCTCGTTCCGACGAATGAAAGAGCATATTTTTCTGCGTAATTTTCGTCGAATAGAGAGTGTACCGCTTGCTCATCGTACCGAAAGATTTATTACGCATCACTTGAAGCACTATTTCGAGAAATAGGACGAATTATGCGTGGTGGATTCGTCGGCGTACTTGGCAAAAGATTTGGATAAATTGAAAAGTACACAACATGCGTCAAATATTCCTAAATATATTTTTCACCGTTTTTTCTGTCGCTTTTTTTCACGCGGCAAAAATGTTTACATATTTACATATAAATGTTTCGAAAAAAAAACAAAACATTGCAATTATGATATGTGTCTTTATCTAATCAATAATGGCCGATATCTGTTTTTAAATGGAGCTTCAATAATTATGCCGGTGATTATGAAAGTGATTTAAAGTCGTGTATTTTTCGTTTAGAGATATTTAGAATTTATCGAGTGTATTGAAAAATATTTCTTTAAAAAAGTACTTGCTCTTCTAATGTAACTCTTTTTTTTTTATGAAAAAATTGAAACAATATAAAACAAGTCATAAGATCAATTTTTTTAAAATTTTTGACTTAGACTACTTTTGTAATTAATCAGCACAATTCACGAACCAGAAATAGTAAATGAATTTTTAAATATATTAAAAAAAAGAAAAAAGCCAACAGATACTTAATTATCCAATAATTGAGCGTAACGCCGAATTGTTTACTAACAAACGTACGCCTCGTTTAGCATGTATTTTATACAGCGTAACAAGAGATACGACGACCGTGTTGTTCGCCTTGTGATTGGCTGATTGCCAATCCAAGTTATCCTTGGCTAGTCTCATATTTCAAGCCATTCATAGATAAGATGTATATGTTTTGCTCGAGATATTAGACCATCTTCCTTCCTTGTTTCCCTTTATCTTCGAACAATAACAGTTCCCTGAACGTACATGGTTTTTAATGGATGCGAAAATTGCACCGTTGTTCGTGTTTCGCGATAGGATAGGTGGAGGAAATATAGCGAGGTCGGTCAGACGTGAAAGTTTGCACGTTCCAGCGCATAGATAGAAATTGGAGAAGATAAGAACTCGATAGAAGTATTTTTGAAATTTTTATTCAGTTCCAATTGGAAGATGTAAAATTTTTTGTGTCGTCCTCAAAATTTAAATCTCTCTAGTTTATAATTTAAAATGGCTAAAAATTGGAACCAAAAAAATTGGAGAATTTCTTGTGTTGATCTTGAATGTTTTTTTGCATCAATCTATGTAGATTTTTAACTTTGTTAACTGAGTTCATCTCTGAAAATTTTAATCTCCGTAGTTTATAATTTAAATTGAGTAAAAGTCGTAACCAAAAAATTGAGAAATGTAAATTTTCTTATGCCGACCTTGAATGTTAATTGCACCAATCTGTGCAGCTATTTAACTTTGTTAACTGGATTCATCTCTCAAAATGAAATCTCTAGTTTATAATTTAAAATGAGTAAAAGTCATAGCCAATTCTTGCACAAGAGAATATTTATTTTATATTTAACACTGGTATAATATTAAAATTAATAATATTAAAAATAAAAATGAATTGTGTTCCAAGTATTGGCTAACTAATGGACGAGTAAATTTGTCTCACCCAGTTAACAGTTTAATGCTCTAATTTACGACCTCGCTGTATTTCTTACTCCGACTATACATATACACTTCGATCAAATAAAAGTTGTCGATAGCAGGTGGTAATCTTTTTTATGGTGTGTCACCACTGATTAGAAGATATGAAAAAGGTCTCAGAATATAGGAGAAATTTTTTCTCAACGTAAAAATAACATAACACAACTGTACTCGATTTTTTATCCGATTTTCCAATTTTTTTTTTATCATTTATACCGGGTCGAGGTGCAAGGATTCGATCAGGTTACGCTAGACAAGGTGTGATTGATCGACGATGGGCGATCAGGTTCCTCGCGAGGCAATAAGAATCTGATCTTGTTAATTTTTCCGTCGGCTTCGACGAGTTAGCAAAACCAGCGTAGTTGAAAACCAGCCGCGAGCTTTGTGTTACCGTTGTAAAACCGTGGTATATCTGGTAAACTGAGACGCGACGAGACTTCAATTGATGCCATGTAGAAGCGAGGCAGTATCATCAATTTCACAATGATACAGGATCCACCTGTACGGCTTTAAAACAACTTTTAAATCGGATTGCCGAAGATTACAGACTTCTTGTGGTTTGAAAAGACGACACATATAATACGAATACAACACTTTTGCACACTTCGCGTGAATAAGAAGATTTTACAAATTCCTGAACGTTCGTTGTTTTCATTTCTGCGCAGGAAGCCGAGCTTTTAGAGAAGAACACGGATTGGATCTACGAATGGAGTTCGCGTCCGGATCAAGTACCGCCAAAGTACGTCTACGTTCCACTTTGTAATACCCAGGATGGACGGATTACAAGTCGCTTTATAAACCTATTCTTTCAATCTTATTAAAGAACATTTTTAAGGAATAGAAAGAAAAAGAGTTATTCAATTTTTAAGTCGACCCTGTTGTCGAACAATAAACACAGAATAATTTATGGAAGTTTTTTTTCTTTGAACATTTCAGAGACTGGAAGTTCAAGCATCCTCAAGGAATGAACAAAAGAAAATCTTACAGCATTCGTACCACAAAAGTAGGCAAGAATGGCTTGTTCTCTAAAGAAGTCCTTTACACACTCTTTATCACGAATATTCTGTCCGTTTTGGTGGGAGCTGGCTTAGGGTAAGAGTAGTTGAAGGATTAGATCTAAAAATAAGATGGAAATTAGGATGGATAGCTTTTGAAGAAATGTGTATTTTGTGTAAAAATGGTGTATGATTCATCTCTATAGAGTTTGGCTGACCAGGCGAGGATCGTTAACGTCCACCGTGACCATCGAGTGAAGAAGAAAAACGGTCAGGTACGCGAAAGTCAGGATTGCTGCGCTGGAGATTGCAAGGAAACGGAGTAAAAGGGTGGTTGGTCTGTATCGCAAACCGCAAGAAAGACTGAAGAGCCAAGAGGGTCGATCGAGCCTAAAAACACACGCAACACATTATTTCGATTACCCCCGTTTTAATATTAGCACTTTCTATCTCTTCTTAATCCTTCCCTGCCTGAAAAATGAAAAAAAACTTAACGGTGTACTTATTGAACGCCGTGTTTATTGTGTAAGTTGAAATGCAATTATATTTCTATATATATGTATATATATTATATTATATATATGTATATATACATATAGCGTTGTTGAGGAAACAAGACATGTCCATTTTATACCGTTTGTAATGCGTTTCTATCTGCGATAGTCCGTAGGTATAGCTTGGATAGTATTTATCGATAATAATTATAATTACAAGTTAATTGATGATGAAATAAAGAAAGAGGGAGAGAGAGATGATAAAGAATGTTTGTGGTTAGCAAAGGAAAATATCGTTTTGGTTGTAAAAACGATTAGGAAAATGAGAGTGTGTACAAAAGAAAGGAAAGGATAATTTATATTAGCGAAAGGAAACACCTTTGTTATTAAATTGTAAATATTCTACTGCATTGAATGAAACATTTCAATGATGGTATGAATTTAGAAAATGTGTCTTTGTGGGGTGTGCTTTGTAGCGCAATGTGATAGGAATGCAAGGCATATTTAATTAAATGGAATTTCAGCTTCTGACAGAATTATAATGGGTGTGAAGAACAATTTTCACAGTGTACAAGGATGATAATATTGTTTAAGCGGGTAGTAGTGAGTTGATGATTTTCGTTCCGTTCTCATGTTTTTAATTTTGTAAAGTTTCTTTCTTTAAATAAGATGCAAACAAAAAAAATGTGAGATCATAGTTTTACTTTATTTTTTTTTATCGCCAATTCGTTATCGATTGAACATCTGGACTGACACAATTTAAATACAAGAATTTGCATGAAATTTGCACATCATTTAATGTTAACTATTTATAAAATACGATGCGTTTTGATCATTTGATTTTCAATTTTATACAGCATAAACAATTTTGTACTTTACGAGACGCAGGTTTTGATAAACGTTAGGTAATAAAAACGGTGAAGAAACGGTATATTAGAGTGACGTGCAACAACTTCGTACAATTTAGTGAATCTTATTTGTAATCTAAGAAGAAATCAACGCTAATTCTCGTGTTTCAAGATCTTTCAGTCGATTTAAAAAAAAAAAAATACATTGTTAATTTATTATTGTACGTGTTAAAAAAAGATTATAATCTTCTTTCGCATGAATTTTACGAGTCGCTTATCTCAACGGCACAATGTGTGGTTTGTATCGAAACTATCACGAAATAAAAAGACTCGATAGTGGTTGCATCACGTTAACGATTTTCTAAGGTTTATCGCGTTTTTTCACAGAAATTATGGATATATATATATATAATACATATACTATGTATTAAGTGTAAGATGCTGTATATTACGAGATAATAGTGCGTATTCGATGTAAGTAGAAATTAGAAATGCAAGTTTTTTGTATTTTCAATATAATTCTGTACATTATTCGTGTATACATTTGCCTTTGGAAACCTGCAATACTGTGAACTTATATACGCATGATTAATAACTATTATCGATCATCCTTCGCTCGTTACAGCCATACTAATCAGTCTTTTATAAAACATGTTGCACTAACCAACAAAAAAGAAAAAATATGAATTCCCTCCCTAAAAAAATGAATATCCAAGGAAAGGCCTTGAACTCTCACAACTTCGCACAATCGACCAAAAACCTACTGTCAAGCGTAACAGATTAGGTATAAAAGCATCAACTTTCCTTCGAGCATGACGGATAACGATAATGCGAGCGTTAACGAGAAAAATGTAAAGATCTTTGTTAGAATTTTTCCGGTTGAGAGATCCTGCGAATCGTGCGCGAGAATCGACACAGAACGCAAGGTATTAGAGTTTCTCTTTCATGTTTGTTATCCATTTACGTGGATAAAATTAAAGAAAGTACCGTCGTTTCGATTCAATGTAGAAGATATACGTGCGATGTTTACAAGAAATGCAACCGAATAGAATAGTTACTATTAAAAAACCATCTTACTGGTGCTTTCAAGCAGATGCAATCTTTTGTGACTCTTCACAGGAAGAGGTTTATCATGTTACAACCGAGGACCTTGTGCCAAAGTACACAAAAATATGTTACTCTCTATTTAATACCGTTTGAGACTTCTTGTGTTAATTGTGGTCTTCAAAAGAGGAAACCTCAAATGGTATAAACTATGAACAGGAAGTGTGGACAAATTAGTTTAGCATGAAAATATGATTTAAGAATTCTAGATGGTGTAAGTTGTGTTTTAATGGGATATGGACAAACAGGTAGTGGAAAGAGCTTCACCATCAATGGTTTAAGAAACAACTGGGAAGTACGGCTACGTTGAGTGCTTATTTTTACTATAGCTGACACAAATACAGTGATTACATTCGCTTTTCTCAGCACAGAGGCCTGGTCGCGCGGCTCCTGTCCCACATGTTCATTGAGAAGGCAAACAGGAAGAAAGTCAGCAAGATAGAATACTGTGTCAGCTTTATAGAATTGTATGGAAAGGAAGCAAGAGACCTACTGACCTGTAATATGGACAATAGAGTTAAGATAAATGAACGAGATCCCTTTAAGGTGTTGTTAAGATATTATTTCATAAAACATGGGGTACTGAATGGAACTTTAGTTAGGAAAATTCTAGGACATTTCTATGCTGTCTATGGATAATGAAAAAGAAGGTCTTAGGAGGATTTTCGAAGGAGAAAGCAGAAGATTGATTGTAAAAGGATCAACTTATCCAGCGTCTCATTTAGCCACGGCTGTGATTACTTTTCACGTGTCTAATACAAGTTTAATTACATCCTGGGGCGTTGTAACGACGGCCAAAGTAGTTATATATTTCATGCAACGAATCTATGAATTTCTTAAACCGTGAAATTGCAGATTGTATAGCTACGAGTTAATGGTTTCGCGCTGTTTTAATTAGAGGTGTAATTAATACCTTAGATGCATATCGTGGAGGTAGCTGGTACAGGAAAAATAGGAAGGAATAATTGTTTGAAAACGGCTATGGATATCGGCATGGCTAATTTAACGAAGACTCAGCTTGAGCAATTTTTTTCGTGCATTGGAAATTCAGGAATGTCGGCAATTAGTATAATACGTTCTAGCAACTTGTTGAAGATTCTGAGAAATGCTTTCTCAGTTTCATCTATAGTTCGGTGATTAAATAAATTTTAAATCCCTTATGAACTACGATAATTTAGTAATCTTGCATATTATTAGTTTTATATCGCATATTCAAATTACAAAAGAGGACCTCGGTATCACATTATCCACTTTAAGGCTAACCGCAAAAATCGGGAAATTAAAACCAATTAGAATGAAGGAAGATGTTAAGTATCGATCAGATTTAATGGTACACAGGCTTCAGGACGAAGTTAATGCCTTGAAAAAAGAATTGATGATAAATAACTTGTTTTTGCATCAAGAGGCATTTATGAATATATCGAAGTCGCGGATGGAACAAATTAATAGGAATATTCTTAATTTTTTGAACGATAAGATTTCAGATTTCACATTGTTTAGCGCATCTCAGGCACAAGTATTATTAAAGAATATCAAGAACCTATATAACAGGTTGCATTACCTTTGGTATATGTAAAATAATTTTAAGGTTAGTTTTTAAACGATTGAATCGATAGATTAGCCGCCAAGGAACTCGAAGTTGAAGAATTGAAAGAGACTTACGAAAGTTTAGTGAAAAGTGTGACGCAATTCAGCACATCAGAAAATTTGCCTATGGTACTTTAATTGAACGTTTCATTTTTAATGTTTTCGACTTTTTCTATTTTGTATTAAATATATGTAGGAAACTGTAATATCTACCGATGATTATACCAACAATCGGAAACGAATTAAGAGTTCGTCACAAGTAACAGAAGCTGAAAAAATTATACAAGAAATGGAAAAAGAGGAAGTTGGTAGTTTAGATAAATCCAGTATGTTGTTCTTTATATCTGAGTAACGCAAATGTGTGAAATATGTATGAATACTTTATAAAAAGCTAGTTCTGAAGAAATTTTAAAAAGTAAACATTTATTAGGACGGGAACACATTCTTAAAATTGATAGCCAGAATATAGTGATGGTTAGAATTCGATTTATCATAGTAAAATTCTCTTAAATACTTTTCGCTCCATTAATTTATGCGTATTAAAAAAGGTTCGACAATTATTTGAGTCTTTCTTAAAAGAGGAAAAAGGGTATGCAACAATGAAAGAGAAATTTGATAAAAATGAAAGGACACTTGGTACAGTTCGTCAGAGGTTTTCAGACGTGATCGATAACTACTTCCAGGTGCATTACAGTTTATTACCGACATATAAAAAAGTTTTATCCAAAGTTTTTGTTAATGTTTAGAGGTTATTTCTCAGGCAAAGAGAAATTTGGATGATGCACGCGATAAACTTGACAAACACCAGCAAATTCGATATGTTTTGGAATTAGGAAATCACGAGAGAACAAAAATTATTATTGAAATCGAGAAAACGATCGAACGAGATATTTTGTGTCATAGAAAAGTCCTAGTCAATTTAGAAGAAGAAGTAAATCAAGCGCAAGATGAAATTACTACATTATCCAATCAACATTTAGAGATGATTTCGAAGTTAGAATCTGCTTTCCGAGAATATTGTAAGAAAAAGGACTTTTTAGTATATTATACTGATGAGTCAATGAAAATGTTGTTGAAACCTACTACTACGGAATCCCTGGAAATAATTCGATGCAAGTTCAATAAGTTTCAACGAGCGATGTTGCGCAAGACAGAAGTAAATTTTTTAATTTGAATTTGAATTTGAATTTAAATTTAAAAAAATAAAAAATCTACCGTTTTTTCATATTAGGAAAGAGGAAGAACGAAGAAAGCACGACTTGACAATAAACGAATGTGCAACAGTGTTAAGACATAATTAACGAAAATAATATCTTCCTAGCAATAAATACTAACATTTAATAAGTAAATAAATGCATTTTCAAGTACTTTTAAATTTAATTTAATTAACCGCGAAAAACATAATCAAAGGCCATCTATTAGCGTAATGATAAATTACGTTACGATATATTGTACACATATCGATAGAAGTGTAACTACTTCCTCGGCTAGGAAATCACCGGTTCTAAATTAAGAGTCTTATAAAATTGTGAAAATTATATATTAGAAAGCTCCTTATACAAAAGGTAAAATTACTAATCGTTTATTTTTATATGTTACGCGTAATATATTACATGTACCATCGATTTAATGTCTTTTTTTTGTACATTATTTTGTTTGATTTTTACACATTGTTGTGTAAAGTGACATTGTTTAAAGTAGAACACAGTTTTAGTACATATATATATTTTAAGATATTAATTTATGGATAACAGAAACAAATAGTTAGATGTTCTTAGAGATGACAACGGTTCAAAATCTTGGTATTCGTAGATTATTGGTTAAATCGTGTTAGTGTCGCTTGGTGTCACGTTACCAAACTGTAAACAGAAATTCAGTCAACGGTCCGACAGCCGATGGAGATGGATTCTGTCGGCTGTTAATATATTTTTTGCTTGTAATCTGTGTACGAAAAATTCTGAGAATACCGAAACTACGGCAGTTAAACTTCCTTTGTTTTGTGAATGTTCAAAGTTGCCTTTGGTCCGCGCGTAATGCGAAATTTTGTATTAACGTTAAGCAAAATTTATATTGTTTCGTTACATGTTCGATGTTAAGATAAAAGTTGCGTGTATCTAATGCGTGTGTCAAATATCTAGGAACGTTGAGAAAAAGTTGCTATACAGAATTAAAAGAATGGCAAACAAACAAGATGGTCTAGTAAGTATATTTTAAACAATCTTTTTTTCCACAATTTTGTTGTACCGAAAATTAACATGTGCGTGTGTTGTGACAGTTGAAACAGAAAGAACAATTTATCGATATGTTGTTGAACGAAGGAAGGAGATATTTAATTACATTGGAAAAATTTCGTAAGAAAGCCAAAGACCATTTGTCTGAATACAAGAAGATATTACATGCTATTGATCGTTACACGCGAGTAAGTTCGTATCACGTAAGATAAAAATTAAAATAAAAACAATATCGTAATTATCGTTAAATAATTTTTGAGTACAGTATAAAGCACAATTGATGGAAGACATGGAGGTATTGAAAGAAATTTTGAATGACACGGATAATGACGTAGAAGATGACGAGGGAACAGTGGAATCGGATGAAGCGGAATACATGCAGATAGAATTGGAAGAATTCGTAAACGAGGAGGAGGAAGATTTCGTCTTCGAAGAACAATTCTGTCACTCCCACAATATAGTACATCGAAAGAATATTTTGGCGAATATGGAGCTGTTAATATCGCAGATGTTCAAAATGGATATAAACGTGGTGAATTTTCAACGGGCGATGTATACGAAGTTCATGAATGTTCTTAAAGAATATTGCGTGACAGTACAAATGTTTCTAAACTCTAATGCGGTTTTCGCGGAGTCTCAGAATGTTAATCTCGAGAAGAAACAGTTAATTAAGAATATTGAGACTAAATACAAGGAACTCCAGCAGCTTTTTGTTAAAGTTACTGAGGTATAGATCATTGAATAACAATTGCTATCTGATTTTTCTGTAGTACATAAATATATATTTTTTACAGAAAGTACGATAAAATATTATGTGAGCGGAAAAACGAAGAAAAAGAAAATAATTAGTGTACATACATTCATGTTATATGATATCGTTTGTGGAAAAAAAATAAGTTATTTTTTTATGTTGGTACTACACAGCGTGTAGAAAGTAAATATTTGTTGAATTAAATGCACAACACGTTTGTGAATACTAATGTGTGTTTCACGTTTCTAATATGTATGAAACACAAATATGTGCCATACGATAGAAAAGAAATAGGAAGGTAGGCAGGTAAGAAAGAATCCTGTATAAGTTAGACGAGGATAGCGAAAAAGCATTTTGGCGATAGATAGAAAACGTTTCCTATTGGTCTGCGGGCTCCTAAACTCCGTCTCCCAAACGCTAAATCCTGTCAAACGTACTGGTATATTGTAACCTTTTGTAAAATACATTTTGTATTTTACTTGGCTTACAATAAATAATTTATTTTTTGATAAATAACTGCATTCCTTCATTTTTCCTGATGTTTAAGTCCTTTCCTTGATTCCTGTGGTGGCCTGAGTGTTCCATCTGTAATAACACGAAAATACATTAATTCTTCAATTTTCAATAAAAGTTATAAGGAATTTCTGTTCAATCTACCGAATGCAATGGTTGATTCAATGCAAAATTAATAGACGAGCTGGTTTATTAAGTTAAAGCATATGAAAGTATTATTTGAGACTACCATATGAATTATTATTTAACAAGAAGTACTAATTATTCTATAATTAAAGTACTTCAAAACATACCATAAACTGTATTTTACTATCTACATTATTAGTAATGTTAAAGCAATTCAAAATATATTATACGTATCAATTAAATGTAATAAAAATGACGACAAGGATATCAATACGGAAGAGAGATAAAGAAACAAATAGCGGTAGATAAGGATAGCACTAAAGAAATGAGTAAGACAAGGACAGAAAAATTTGAAATGTGAAACTAACGCCATCTCGTGTTTGGTGACGCGAACTACGAATTCTTAATAGGATCACAGAATATAAACAGAGGTATTAGACAAGGAAAGCACTAGTGTGCGAGAAGGACAGAGAGAAAACGCTTCCTATTGGCTGCCGGGCCGCCATTGCTCACCTCCCACGGGCTAATCAAATCGATCAGGGAAAAATCATTAATAACTCAATAATTACGATGATTTTGTGAACTTTTAGAATTAAAGAATGAAGAGTGGACCTTTAGCAACTTTCTCATATAATTTTTAATGTTCTAGATCCCTTAAATAATTAGTTATTAACAATTTTAGTACGTGATGTCGGGAACGATACCGCATACCGTCAAGTACCTTTTCGGTTTTTCAATAATTTCATAGCTTTCTACTAAACTCCCATGCAACTAACTATATGCTTCTGAAAGGCAAATCCCTTAGCTATATTCTCATATAATTTTTATTAACATATTCGCTTTAGTTTAAGAGTTATTAAACATTATATGAGAGTGTTCCCTATACATCGAACTCATGTATAGTCAACTGTTATAAACATTTGCTAATATCTAATAAACCACATCACTTACGGTTACCAAACTAATTGCAGAATATAAAGAAAAGTCCATTCTACATTCTACATGCTTCAAAGTGCATAATTAATCATGCGTTTCCATTGAAATAACGAAAATGTGTATGCTTGAATGCGACGGATATAATACTCTCCTAAAGAATGTTAAATAATTATCAAACCACAAGGGATATGTTAATAAAAATTATATGAGAATGTAGCTAAAGGACTACAGTTAGTTGTATGGGAATTTAGTACAAAGCTATGAAATTATTGAAAAACCGAAAAGGTACTTGACGGTATGCGGTATCGTTCCGGACATCACGTACTAAAATTGTTAATAACTAATTATTTAAGGGATCTAGAGCATTAAAAATAATATGAAAAAGTTGCTAAAGGTCCACTCTTCATTCTTTAATTCTAAAAGTTCACAACATCATCGTAATTATTGAGTTATTAATGATTTTTCCCTGACCGATTTGATTAGCCCGTGGGAGGTGAGCAATGGCGGCCCGGCAGCCAATAGGAAGAGTTTTATCTCTGTCCTTCTCGCACACTAGTGCTTTCTTTGTCTAATACCTCTGTTTATATTCTGTGTTCCTATTAAAAAATCGTAATTCGCATCACCCGACGCGAGATGGCGTTAGTTTCACTTTCAAAAAATTTCTGTCCTTGTCTAACTCATTATTGTAGTGCTATCCTTGTTTACCCCTACTTCTTTCCTTGTCGTACTCGTTTCTCTAGTATTGTCCTTGTCTGCCAGTGTTCTTTTGCTTGTCTAACTCATTTCTGTTTTGCTAAATATATAAATAAGTACCTTGATAAGTTATCCTTCGTAGTAAGCATGACTAAATATATTGGATTCCGTGGGTAGAATTGTTCACGACCTTTTGACAGCAGTAAAACACGCGCATGTGATGAATCATTTACTGATAAACAATTACGTTCGTTTCTTATTTGTGATTTCATAGTCACGTTTAATTCCAAAAACACCGCGAGTTATTCGAATCTTACTCTATACTGCATCGGTAACGTTGGTAGCGACATAAAAATGGTAAGGGTATTCTCGGCCCCAAAGCTTCGGACAAAAGATCCCATAAGATGGTATTTAGTTCTATCACAGACGGGATTTACATGTAAATTTGTATGTCTATATGTGGGTCTATCCTGTACGTCGTCTGTAGTAATAGGCTAAACGAGCAAAGTTCACTGCACATACTTATCGTGAACTGTACGTAGAGATATCACGAATATTCCGGCAGATGTCTCTTATTTATTTCGTGCTTGCGCTGTAGATCGTTTAGATCTCTACTGACGTTTGATGTTAGTGGATCGCAAAGTTGCAGTGTCTTCTTCCGTGTCCCTTTTCTATGTATCCTAATACTGGAAATATTATTCGAATGCGAAGGAACGTGCAGATAGAAACCTAACTTTCAGTGTTTCTGTTAATAAATGACAAGTGATCAAGTGGGAAAATTTAGTTGTACGATGGCAACATTAAACGAGTACATTTGTCAACTATCTGAGGAGGAGAAGGCGTACGTGCGGGATAATTTAAATGAATGTGACGAAACCAGGCCAATTAAAATTGCTGAAATAAAACAGTGGATAACGGAGAATGAAGAATTGCACGTGCCGACTGGTACTCGTCATAATCAACCATACAACTCGATTTTCTTTTGTTCTCTTTGTTCCTCTTGTGAAAGTAAACTTTTCTACGAATTTTTGTTTTCGCAGATGATTTTGTCATTCTTCGTTTTCTGAGAGCGTGCAAATTTAATACAGAGAAAGCGAAGTGCAAATTACGAAATTATTACAAGCAGAGAGCGTGCGTGCCCGAATGGTACAGCAACAGGGATCCTTTTCTACCAGAATTACAGGAATTATTTGATCTTGGGTAATGTTTATAAAGACACATAATTTTCATCTATCGTTAGGGAGTATTGAAAATGTTTAAAATATTATTTTTAATTAATGTTGCGATTCTTTCGAATCTATTGTCATTTAGAAAGATTAATTATAGCTAAAACAACATACCCGATAACATCGTTATCATTATCTGTGAACTTCCGTAATCACGTTTAAAGTATTCATCATCTCTCTCAGGCACGAAATCACGTTTTACGTCGATATGTTAGCGACGTTCGATAAATTGGAACATGCATTTTCTCAATTGGTAATTATTTCAGTTTCGACTCAGTAAGTCAAGCATGATGTTTACTCCAAGTATTTTTTTACGATTTGTCTACGGTAGAAAAGTCATCCAGTTTCTTTTTTTGTGCAGTTTTTTCTGAGATTTATGATATGCGACTTATGTAATGTAAGATAATATTTTATGCACATGAGGTAATCCCGTTTTCTACGAGTCTGGTTTTTCAGGGTACTTTTACCTTTAAGGAAATTAGATAACGAGGGCAGAATGATTGTAATAGTGCGTACAGCTGTGCACACTCCAAGTAGGCACAAAATGTCAGACATGTTGAAGGTACGAAAAACATCGAATTACTAATAGACCTGAGCGGAAGACGTAAATTGTACGAAATAACTAGTTGTCCCCGATAGTCTATACAATCCATAGGTACAATCGTGATAAACGCTACTTCTAGCATTTTGTTCGTAAACAAATAGAAAAATATCGAAATGGTTAAAGAAGCCTGCGTTTTTTTTTTTACTTCAGGTAGCATTGATGACTCTGGATCTAGCGTTACGAGATCACGAATCCGTGACGATTTACGGTATCACGGCTATCTTGGATATAGGTGGCATGACATACGAGCACGTTCTCCAATTACCGCCGAATGTCATTAAAAATCTAGTTCATGCATGGCAGGGTTGCTACCCTGTTAGAATCCATTCTTTGAATTTTATCAATGCTCATAAATTCGTGAACGCGATTTTGAATATCTTCAGAAGTTTCATGATCACGAAATTGAAACAGAGAGTGCACGTACATGCGCGTGGTAAATTAAAATTATACGAAACTCTGCCGATAAGTATTTTACCAGTAGAGTATGGGGGTACGGATGGTACAGTGAAGGAATTAAGCGGTATATTTCTTATCATTTTTAAAGTCTTTGTACGTAGGTAGATAAGGTAATGGTTAATTGAACTATTTTAATTGGCTTACAGAGTATTGGAAGAGGACAGTGAAGGAGAACAGTAAATGGTTCGCCGAGGAAGAAAATTACAAATTGATGTTGATTAAGTAACTAGATTGACTCTAATTTGTGATAACAAGGGATTGTATACGTGATTATTCAAAGTAGTTAATGGGGAACATACTACGTGATAAGCATCGAAATATCTTGTATTTTTTGTAAACGTTTTTTTTATACAGAAAAAATAAAACGGAAAACACGAAAATGTACACTGCTTCTGCTCGTTTCTTTTTTTACATCGTTCTTTCTTCTGCATCCTTTTATAGAATTTTTATTCAGACTATGCGTTCATTTAAACGCGAATAGCGGAGAAACACCGTTAATAGGTATAAAACGTAATACTCTATGATTCGTATGCTACAATATGGTACATATTCTCTGTGCTAGTAATCGTATTGCACGCTAGCGTACATCAATTACCCTAATTATATCGTCCCGATTATCTTTCTCGATTAAAGTTTTGGTTATTATACAAAGTTTCACGTATGCTTCCCGTCATACATGGAACATATCTTTCATGGATATTCTCCTCGTTTATACTTTTAGACGCGTCGTTCCCCAGATCGCGTTGTACAAGTTAAATAAAAACGTACACTTAAGTCATGGGCAAGTAAAATTGTCCTACATCTAATTTTCGCTAACTCGTTAATTTATGTCCATTTTGTTCACGTTTCTCTTATGCCGTTCTGAACACACTTCGAATATTTATCAGGGCACATTGTACTGGACTATTCACAAGTACAGATCGTCTCGTCCATCACCAAAACGTTCTCTGTACAGTGTCACCCCATTTTATAGGTTAACTCAAACGAGACGATGAATACTTCTCGCGGAAAAAAAACGACTATCCATGGTAAAATGCATCCCTGAGGATACAAAAGAGGGAAATGAAAGTAGAAGAAGAAGAAGAAGAAGAGAAAACCCTAAAAAGAAAGAACTAAACACGCGACACACAACCATTCGTTCATCTTCATTCGCACACAAGGGAAACATTAAGCGCACAAGGAGCATCACATGTATCTGGAGGTTCACGCACGAAGGGCGCAACGAGATCGTCTCGCGGAAGCTTTCCGAAGCGATCTCCGCTTTGAGCTACCATCATAGGCCGATCGTGATGTTTCGAGCCGCACCAACATGGCTCTAGCACGCTCTTTTTTGTTTACGTGGTGATTACTCCACTCGCAAACGCCATGATACCATTTTATCCGCGCTTGAATTTGAGCACCACTATGCTTATCGTAAGGAACGCGACTATCCAGACGATGGTCGAGATGAAACCGTTGTAGACGTCTGGTTCTGAGATGGACCAACCGCGCGTCAGCATTGAACGCAGTGACGTTGTCGCCATTGTTAGTGGAAGGCCCAGAGACACGTGTCGCAGGAATGAAGGCATACCTTCTACTGGCCAAATCACACCTGAAATATAAAGATTGAATTCGTAAATAAAATAAAATTAAAAAATAAAATAATGTAATTTCTTAGAGAGAAATATGAACTATTCAGAAACCAAAACGATTAACTCCACTTTTTGATATTCGTCCAATTTTAGTATCAAAGCACATGTTTGGTGCTTAATTCCTCATAAATAAAAAAAATTTAATACATTTTATTTCATGGAGTTAATCACTTTGGATTCTGAGTGGCTCATATGTTATTTAAATAAGCAATGCATTATGTAATGGTGAATTTATAGCTAAGTATTGGAGAGTTGAAAGCTGACACATGTCATACGGTTGTTTTTGGTTTTTTCTTCTTTCTGCCCAATGGTTTGGTATAACTGCACGTAACTGGGCGATTTGGAAACATTCAAGATTTGAGCATCATTTAAGTGGAACATGTAATTAAGTATGCGAATGACTTTCACTTTTACCGGCTGACATTTAATTACAATGATCGTCGTTAAGTTTGCGCGATTCACACGATCGGGAAGAATTTACCACGGAAGCATCGTTGTGCTTTCCATCGTGCGACAAGAAACGCGATAGATAAGAAAACGTCTCCGCGTTGTATTCATTGACTGTGTGTGCCTTCTTGTTATTTGTGTACTTTCCGCCTTCGTGAATTACGCGTTCTTAATTTTATATAACGTACCGCTCAACAGAAGCGTAGGATAGAAACTGCCCAGAGCCAGCTGGATTGCATTCCTTTCAAGTTCGCAAATCGCTGAAATTACAAACCCTGCAAGCAAAGAAAGACACCATGAATCACTTCTTTGATCAATATCAATACTTTATCTTAAAGAAACTGCAAAGAAAGATTGAAAATACTGTTAAATGTTATATTCGCTGTAATTAGAAGCCGTTATTCTTTTGCACGTGAAAGAAGAAACTTTACTTCAAAGGAGAACATATTAACAGGAGAATTATATAAGAGCAGTTTTCCGTGTAGCAATTTTAAAGTGGTAGATCCAGTTTTTAGCAGGTCTGCCCACTATACGAGAGATTGTCTCTGACTTGACCACTTTTATTTAACAAAAAATCACTCGTACGAGTTCACCCTTGTTTCTTACCCACATTCACCGTTCCAAGAATCGATTTCACACTTTGAACTCACCGAAGCACATGCCGCAGAGGCCTTGGAGTATCGTCAGCACGATCACCCAACCGATTTCTCCCTTGCACTCGACATCGAACACCAGAATCATGAAGATCAGTACAAGCGCGGTTTGACCGCACATCACCACGAACTGGGTGATCACGTGGGAGAATAAAATCTCTCCTGGTGAAACGCCAGCTACCCAGCTTCTGTCTAATAAACCCTCCATCCTCTCGATGATAAGAACGGAAGAAGTGAGGGCCACAGCCAAGAAGAAGACAATTCTGTAAGAAAAATAGCCTATCGTAAATACTCGTCGAGTTAGCTATATTCTTAACGAGCTTGGTAAATGAATTTTTCCACACACGTTAAAATTACTCCTGGCGCCACGAAATCAGTGAAACTGGGCTCATTGGTGCCGTAGATTGGATCCTCGAACTGAATTGGTACGTCAGCCAGCTTTGTGTTCTGATCGCAGGCAGAGAGAAGATCTTTGGCAAAGTCCCTGTATGAATACTGAAGATTTCTGGCTAGCATCAGGCCTATTTGTTGATCTGGAAATAATAAATTAAACGTAGAAGCTTGTTGGATCATGGAACTTTGACAATTACAGGGTGTCTGTCTACAGTTTCTGTTGGAAAACATTTTCATACTCACTGGACATGTCTAGCCAAACCCGGATCTCGCTCTGATCCAAAGTTTCATCGTCAGCTTCTCTTCCAAGGGCCATTCTTGCTACCAGAGCGTCTGTAAAGTTCTCAGTAAAATACAAAGTCCCCCAGGCTTCTCCGTCGCGAACAGCGTCCTTTGCTGAGGTAGGATCTCGATAATACTTCTACAAAATAGATATAACCGTTCGAATAACCGAAATCCGAGATTGTAACATTAGTTTTTATCAAGTATCCTTACTATCGTGATCGTTTCGTTGTTGAGAAATTTCAGGTATCGACAACTGAGGTGTGAAAAGTTACAGTCTTCGGTTACAGGACAGGATTTATTCTCGAATGACATTTCGTGATTAACTACAGCCAATTTTAAGTCCGTTGGATCCCTACCAATAGCCAAACAAAAGAGGATCACTTGCATTACTGGCAGTGCAAAGATAAACAGCATCACTCTGCAAAGAGACAGATAGTTTCTTTATCTTCATCCGGAATGCAATGTAGAATTGCTACTGTTTACAGCGAACGTGGCAAGAACTTACCCCACATTTCTCCACATACGTAAAAAGTTCTTTTGCAGCAACGCTCTCATTTTACCCTTGTTCGTTATCTTATAGCAATCAGTGAAATCACCGCAATCGTCGCAATCCAGCATTGAATTCTTCACGCTGGACATAGGTTTTCCGTTCATCTATTGTCAGAGGAAAAAGATTAATTCAACAAGCTTACAGGACTGTGTTTCTTTTTAAACAAGAGAAGCGTGAAAACGGTGGATAGGATTGTTCACGTGTCTCACATCGTAATGATTCCCCACGCCATTCGTAGTGTCGTGAACGAGGACCTCTTTGCTCTGGCTGAAATTCAGACCCACGACACCTGATTCTTCCGTCACGTACACTGGCTCATTCTTCTTGCCCCAGTTCAGAGAAGCCTGTGGAAAAATGCTCGAGATTAGGTCTTTCACGTCTACAAAATATACTTGATAGAAGTACACCGAGTATTGTCATTGAATACTCAGAGAATACTTGTAAGTGTTAACCCTTTCACTGCTATTGGTGCCTATAGGCGCTTTGAAAATTTGTTATTGTGTTATTGGAGCCTTTTGGCTCACTTCCATATTAATTTCAGCCTTAATTTTACCCTCTGCACTCTTCCACGTTAATTCAATGAAACAAATTTTAAAATGATACGGCCAAAAAAGAAAATTTTGTTAACAGCTTACTAAAATTTGCCACAGTGAAAGGGTTAAAATTCTGAAGTATGGCATATGGATTATTTTAGTTTATTTACCAAACTAATATTACTGGAGATGTTCAATTCTGGTGGTTGAGAGTACTGTCCCTGTATTCGAGAAAGTTTCAGGAAAACTTCCTCTAGTGAAGCACAGTTGTACATTTGAAGGAGAGCCCTTGGAGATTCTTCGGCCAATAAACGGCCGCTCCTCATCAAACCAATCTGTAAAAATCAAATTTATGTATATTTAATTTCTCAGACTGAAGTAAAACGAAAGTATGATAACATTTTCATGTGTGTTTCTCGATGAAAATGGATTATTTAATTAGTCCTGTTAGTTAGATGATATCTTGGACAAACTACGCGTCAGTGGCGCGTAAGTTAATTGTTAATCACCGTTAATGAAACTAATTGTGCACGCAGTTTACTGCTTCGCCTCGCGTATTCGTTTAATCGTTTTCTTTTTGTGTGTTTTTCTCATTTCGTTATTTGTTGTTTTTACAACGAAGGTGCACTATATTATGTAAAAATATTCGCGCAAAATATAATTAAGATGTAACTGCAACGTAATTAAAATTAGTATAGTAATCGATGTTAACAGACAGCTTTCTTCGAGTGATAAAGCGGATCGTTTTTTTTCTTTTAAGTAGAATCCGATAGATCTTCCAGAATGTTCTACGGTAACGGTGTTGTTTAACAATACATAAAAATACACGAGAATACATAAAACCGGCAATCATTGGATGTCGTAAAACAAACAAAGTAATAATTTACGCGGGACGTAATGTCCAGGTGAATCAGCTAAACAAAAAGAGATAAATCAACCAGTCATTGTCTCTGCGCGACGAAAAGGTCAGAGGATCAGAAAAAAAATTAATAAAAATTTGTGAAAATTACAAAAGTGTCACAATTCGGAGAAAAGGTAAAAATTACAAAAGAGTTACAATTCAGAATAAAGATAAAAATTGCAAAAGAGTCACAATTCAGAATAAAGGTAAAAGTGCAAAAGTCACAATTCAGAGAAAAGGTAAAATTGAAAAATCTTCCGTTAAAGGAACACTGTACAAACTTTCAGAAATTAAAAAAAGAAGTAAAAATGCAAAATTCTCCATGGATGGAAATGCGTCGGATTGCATTTTACTTTTACTGGATATTCGCAAAATCTTTCACCCTTTTTCTGTTACCTTCTTTCTCCTAGAAAACCACGGTTGCACAATCTTAATACGGTATCATTAACGTAATCGGCCGACGATTCTGTTTGGTAACGGTGCCTCGGTTGTATCGTGATTTGTATTCCTACGTATGCAGTGATACTGTGCCCCGAATAATTTTCCTCGATGCATAACTTTCACGTACCGTATGCGCCTGTCGGGCTTCTTCAATGTAATGGGTCGTTATGATCACGGTCTTGTTGCCGTCCTTCGTGATCTGGACCAAATGGTTCCAGATGCTGCAACAGTAAAGTGACAATGTTAATCTCGTGAACCTTCACGCGTATCATTATCCAGAGAAAATTGAAAATTTTCTTCTGCAGAGATCTCTGGGAACGAACTACAATTCTCGGTAATTTTGATAAACTTTAATGGGAGAAATAATTTTCTCTGTTCAACTTGAGGTGTTGAAAATTAATAACAATGATGTCTGGGGAATGATTTCTCATACTCTCATTGCCATAGAATACAATTTTCTGGAATTTTTTGAAGTTTGCAACCAAATTTCTAACATAGAGTTCATAAAATGACTGTAGATCCACAGAGAAACGTTCCATTTTTCTTTTATTCTAGTTCTAAGGAGTCTTAGTGATCTTCCATAAATTTTAATGCATGAAAGAATTTTTCATATTAAATTTGAGGCCTTGAAAATTAATATTAACGGTGTCTGAGGACTTTGAGTGTCTCTAGAAACGATTTCTCATGCTCTTATTGCCATAGAATACAATTCTCTCAAATTTTTTTAGAGTTTGCAACCTAATTTCTAGCATCGAGTCCATAAAATCATTATAGATCCGCAGAGAAACGTTCCATTTTCCTTTTTTTCTCTCCAGTTCCAAGGAATCTCTTGACGATCTTTCAGTGCGTATCCCAGATGATCATCATCCTCGATACACTTCTTTTTTTAGAAAAGCATCTGGCCGAGCTAATTCACCGATTAGTCAAGCTACATCTTCGCGAGAAAGTCTACGGAAGCTACTATTACTACGTTCCACGCAGAAACTTCAATTTCGCGAGACCAGAGTGGAACACGAGCGCTCGTAAATGCTTGCTGATCATCGCGAAGTAGCTGCTACGTTGACCCTAGGAAGCATTCAATTCGCGGTATAATCGCATCGCGAACTTTCTCGCGGCTAATTAGTAACCTCCTCTTTGTCGTCGTTTGCCTCTTCACCGGTGGAAAAAGACTGGAAAACGACACGATGGAACTATCGGTGGATCTGTTATCGAATATACGAACGAATCTTTAGAAGTTTCCTAAGTAGAATACGTAGTAGCTCTTCGTACAAGGTAGCTGAATTAGAGATTAGCTCGTGGAGGATTTAAGAGGATCTCGCTTGAACCTTGAACTTTCACAGAGGAATTGTGAATAGAGCTGGAGGATGATGAATTCTACGAGGTTGCTGGAGAATGTTAATCCTTGTGTCTTGGTGTCTTGGTGATGTAGATTCGTGACTTACAATCAAGATGGCAACCTTAAAAATGCTACTTTTCTAGATTCTGGAGATTCTTGGAACATTCTTCTCTCTGAAAAATTGCAGAAACTTTTAGAAATTTTGAAAGATGCGAAAATGTGAGATAGTAGGATTGGTATTATCGAAGAAAAATTGGAACAATTTTTAGAAATTAGAGAAAGATAAAAATACGCGAGATTGGAGGATTGGAATTGTCAGAGAAACATTGGAACAATTTTTAGAAATTAGAGAATTGGTATTGTCGAAGAAAAATTGGAACACTCGTTAGAAATTAGAAAAAAAATAAAAATACAAAATTCCAAGAAGGAAAATGCGTGAAATTGCATTTTTTACTGGAAATCCAATGAAAGCACACGACGAAACGATCTTCAGGCGCAGAGAATTCTTCGGCGAATAAATTACTCCTCTATAGTACAATTTACTTTTCGTTCGACGTTACAAAACGAGTGGATACACACGTTAATCGTGGCTAGTTTCAGCGTTAAACGCCTCGGTCAAGCACTCGACGCTTTCCACTTCACACTAAACAGATCCTCGAGGAGGAAAATAGTCGAGGAGAGCCTCGAGCGCGATAATAAACCGTTGAGAAGGACATTAAACGTGTGCGGAGAAACGGTGGCGAATTTCATACGCTGTTATGAAATGACCAAGGCAGGCTGCTTTTCAATTACCATCGCCAGGAATGTGGAAAACTATGCTGATCGCGTTCTACACGCGTGAGTCTAATAAAATGGCCGGGGATTTACATTTCAAACGAGAGAACATATCGTTTACGAGCTTCGAACAATTTTCTTTCCATTTTTAATTCACGTGCCTGTGTATGTTTGTGTGCGTGTAAATCTCGCCTAAGGCAACAGGAATGCGATTTAATCACAATGGACTTTCCTATTGGACATTAGACGTGAACGAGGAGAGATAATTCGTGATGGAATCAGTCACGACAAGCTTATCATCCTCGCCAAGATGGAGGAGAGCCTGGAAAACGTTGGCATAACCTACTTCCATGTGCGACGGCGGCCTGGAAATTTCGCAAGAGATCGTTTCACGATGTTTAATGAAGTTAACGAAGCTGATAAATGGAAGATTGGTAATAATAGGAAATCACCGAGTGTCCCTTGTAATACATTCGAAATTAACCAGGTATTTTCTTTGGTAATGTGAGTGTCAAACATTGTGAATTCGTGGATTCGAGATAGGAAGATGGAAGATTTAACCCTTTTCGTGTCCACTGGAACACGTAAGTCCCACATTTCAGAACTCGAATAAAAGTTTCTCTCAATTTAGTATTCATTTGATATATTCAGATTGATAAATAAAAATGAAATTCTTAAAAAAGATTATTCCATAGATAACAATTGAAATTATTGTGTGCAATTAAAAAGGTAGAAGGTACTCACCTTCTCCTTAGCTGTGAGGAAATAGATACAAAAATTGCTCTCAATGTGATCGTTACATAAATTAAAAATTAATTAAAAAAATTGACAAAATTAAAATTATGAATTATTCGGTCATCGGAAAGGGTTAAAATGTGTAATTAAAAGGGTACGAGGGATATTTTCTTCATTTCAGAAAGAAACTTTCAAATTTGCAAATACGAGTATAAAGATCAATCCTCAACATCAGCCACGAACTTTATCATCGTTTAAATTACCAGCGAGTGTCTATATGTAGGAAAATGTTGGTGCCTCAAGCATTAAGACGTGAATTTTCTCCACACTCTCGAACAAAAGGTCGTTTAAAACGTAGAAAAATCACGTTGCCGCGTTCAGTCACCTTTATTCCGAATTTTTCCACCGGCGCAATAGGCACTTTCACTTAAAAGAGAACCTTAAAAGCGTGATCTACCGTGCAACACTTGCTCCGCCCCTGTCACGCGCTATTTATTCCTGCTATTCGATCCTTGCAGACGAGGATGAAACTTCTCTTTTTTCTTGGCCCTCGCCGTCATCTCGATCTTCGAGGATCTTTAAACCAGTAGGTGCCGATACTTTTACGAGGACCGAAGAACCACAGAATCGATTCCGATCCGTGAGAATCAACCAGTCGTATTTTTTTGATATTTTCCAAGGAAAATAGAGGCTAACAACACAGAAAGTTACTCCAAAGGCCAAGCAACAGGCAGATTTACTCGGTTGAAAGCGAAGATTCAACTTCTGTTAGAACTGGTTTCTTCTTTCTGTGGACATTTTTAACTGCATCCTTCTGTGATTGACACACTCATCTTCGATAGAAGACGATGACCAGACTCGATGGAACGGTAAATACACTTTGAGTGGTGTTTTTCGCTTGATTTAATAGTCAACTGTTCTTAATGTCGTTCAGGAAGTTGCGAGATACTCACCTTTGACGAAGAAGAGGATCTACACCCACGGTTGGCTCGTCCAGAATTAGAAGCTCTGGATCGTGCATTAGGGCTACTGCGAAGGACACTCGTCGCTGCTGGCCACCGCTGTAATTGGGAATAATTTTGTAATTAGAAAGTTTCGTAATTTTTTAATCGTCGTGTGAGTGGAAGCGGAGAGAAATTCGAGTGTTTCAACAATTTTGATGAGAAAAGAACTTTGGAGGGGAATGTTTAGCAGAAGAAGTCTTCAGAAGGATAATTTTCACTGACAACATTATAAAGTATTTAATTTTAGTACAAATGAGTTTAAAAAAAATTGTCAAGCATTTCATTTTAGTACAAATGCTCTTTTAAAACATTCTTAAAATTTCATTTTAGTACAATTTTGTTGCTTTAAGAAATTCTCATCGAAGAGATTGCTAAGAATTTAATCCTAGCAGAATTGCTTTTTCAAAAAATGTTCTCACGACTATAACATTAATTCTACACACCTAAGATTCTTCACCAGCCGATTCTGAGAAGGTAGATCCAAGAATTGTAACAAGAATCGAAGCCTGTCGGCGATTTCTTCGGTGCACATGCCAAAAATCCAACCGAAGTACATCATAGTCTCTCTAATAGTGAATTCTCCATAGAGGGCGATCTCCTGCGGCATGTAACCGACCCTTTTTCCTGGAACTCCGGATCCTTTGGTGCCTGGTTTCCCTCCAAGGACCCAGATCTCTCCGGAATTCAATCTCCTCCGACCGACGATGCAAGAGAGCAGGGTGGTTTTGCCGCATCCACTGGCGCCAAGGAGTCCATATCTAATTTCAGAAGAAAAAAAGATTTTTATTTATATTTTACTTTATTTTTCCGTGATTTCTATTTCGTTTCTACACCACTTTGTGTAGCAAAACAGTCAATTTTCTTAATAACCGAGGTTAATATTTTAATAGGGACCTCCAAGCAAGCTAAGTCGGTGAGAAAGATTACTTATAGTGTTTTACTAAATTTATTAACTTTAATGATTATTAATGAATTTAAAAAATGGCAATAGCTTCAAATTTTTCGTTTCCAAGTCCTTTTACGGTTTTAGCATGCTTTTTTACGTCACGTTAACTCCTTTCTGAAAGACAGCTCGAAATGGAGCCTCTCCATTTGGAAATCACGACCTTCGAAGCAGCATCTCCGATGATTAATGAAAGCTCAACGTCGTTCACCCGCCGCCGGTCATTTGGACAGTGAACTTTCCACACTTTCGAATTCCTTATTCGTTATCGACCAAACTGGCAGCCAGTTTATTCCACTGGAACAATCGACAATTGTTCTAGCAAACTAGCCACCCTTAGTCACCGTATTTATCAACTTCCATTACAAGCTTTTTCTCTCCATATACACTACTAAAGCGTAAATCTCCATCGACTTCCTGTCATTTCTACGGATATTTATGTATACATACACTCGAGCCAGAGGCTCATGTAATGGAGTTACGTGCTCCCTTGGCATGAATGCCGATATTCGTAACCAAGTGACCAAGATAATGGGCCATTCGCGTAATAAATTACATAACTAACAGGATAACGGTATTCAAGAATTCATTTTATCCCGGAAACTTTGAATTCGAATGGAAATTTCGTTCGAATTTCCTCGTCTATGGAATTCTATGCTCGAGTTAAATCGAGCTCCATGTTGAAACGAGTACAAAGAAAGATACAATTACAGACCTACTTATTGTTTACCTAAGAAACTTTCATTTTATCCATACTTCTATGGATCTATTTATTTCTTTCAACCCTTTCGCAACTAAAATTGCTCATTTATCTTATTTGGACACGCTGGACCAAGATCATTTTTTGTTCGAGTAGACAGTGCTAGATATACATGTGTTTTTGCCCAAGTGGTTACGAAAGGGTAAATATAAAATAACGCGTTGGAATTTTTAAATGTTGGATTAAATTAGACGGTGATTTGCGAGTTCCGGTTAAGGAAACAGGCTGATTCAGTTTCGTCATACTAGTGGCAATTAGCGCAATCAAGGATTACCTGTTTCCGACCTTCCAAGCTCGGTTTTGCTCCGCCTCAGATCGTTCATAAATAATTCAATTCTGTGTGAAACAACGTTCGAGACAGTTCCTTGACAAAAGTCCTCTTTATTCTCTCTATGCATTGCTCACTTTCACTGGGAATTCGAACCTGTGATTACGTAGCGGGGAAACGAACTCTCGTGATCGAATCTTAATTCGTAAGATGATAAACACTTGGCTTATTGTTTCGGTGAAATGACCATTATTAACCATTCCGATTTTAGGAAGTAACTGGCGTTGCAGGAGGTTGATGTTAAATCGTGGCTGCACCGTTTTCAGATTTCGTTTGTTAAATTAAGGCGGAAATGCGCGAAGGATAACATTAAGGTTGAAGTGCGGAAAAGATGAAATTAAGAATTAAATTAAAGTGGACGAGCGCGAAGGATAAAATTAAGGATCGAGGTGAAAGTGTGCGAATGGTAAAATAAAAAATTAAAGTGGAAACGTGCAAAGGGTTAAATTAAGGTGGAGGTACGCAAAGGATAAAATTAAGCATCAAAGTGGAAATGTGCAAAGGATAAAACTAAAAATTAAGGTAGAAATGCGCGAAGGATGAAATTAAGGATCAAAGTAGAAATGCGCAAAGGATAAAATTAAGGTGGAAAAGCGTAAAAGATAAAATTAAGGATCAAAGTGGAAATGTGAATAAAGGTGCAAATGTGCAAAGGATAAAATTAAGGATTAAGCTGGAAGTGTGCAAAGGATCAAATTAAGATAGAAGTGCACCTACCACAACGCCATCAAACTTTCAAAGCATCCATAGATACCATCAGCAACGAAAGGATTAACAATTACACGACACATTTCATAAAATTCTTCTTCATACTAACATGGATCCTTTCGCCACCGTCATGCAGAGATTCTGGATAACATGATTGGGATTTTTGCTGCTGCCGTAAGTCTTGAAGGCATGCCTGACGCTGACTGCTTGCTGCCGACTCCACGTAGGGTTGTTCAACCCCGGCGTTGCAAGCACAGGATTAGGCGCCGTCATGTCCAGAGTACTATCCCCGTTGCTCTGCATGTTCTCTGTGTTCGCCTGACCGCCTCCTCCTCCTGCTGTCCCGTCACTAAATTCCAAAAAAAAATTCCGTATCATTAAAAACGTTCACGCTATCAAACTTCTCTCTCTCTCGAATCAATTCCAAAGTTTCTCCAAGCAGTAAAACCATAACAGCGTCGCTCGTAAAACGAGTTATGCTTCGTAAAATAAAAGTTAAACGGATAGACATAGTAATTAAAACGTATTTTATGTTACTCGGAGCAATTGTGCCATGCGTAATTACGAGCAAATCGATTACGCCTGCGATCGCAGGTAGCAAACGCGGAAAAAACGTAGATTTTAAAGGCCTCGGTGCGTCGATCGGATCGTCCATGACGCAAGCAACGCTAATTGAGCATGGTAAATGAAACGTCGAATATTGTTAACTTATGCGTCAAGCATATACCCTCACTTCCGTAACAAAAACTCGGCAAAGAGTCCAAAGTTACTCTCGAGTGGTAAACGTTGTCATCGTAATGTTATCAATCATCGTGCCGATATATTCTTCTATCAGAATATTGGTCTTTTTTTTTTTTTCAACTATAGTATGTCATTGTCATTGTGACTCAATTCTTCGCGAGACAATCATCGATCGTACACACAATCGAGTTACAGATGATGGCCACGATCCATTCAAGATAACGATGTGGCAACGATTAGGCCACTATTAAGTCACGATAGCGATTACGAAAAGAAAAAACGAAGGATCGATTGGTAAATCGAGTCACGGACACAAAGCAGGGTCGAGTTTCGAGTCACGGTCAAGTGACAAAGGCAGCCAAGCTTCGAAGAAGCGTCAGAAGCATCGAGATAAACGGTGGTGGAATTGGATCAAGAGGAGAAAACACACTGTGGGAGATTGGAATCGGTAGGAAGTTCACTCGTTCGTAGTTAAGGAAAGCTGATTCTCTCACGATTACCTCGTTTCAAGATGAATCAGTCGTGAATCATCGTTGCTCGCGTGCACTTTAATCACTCACCGAATTACACGTTCCATTCACCACACTTTGTCAACAGAAAACGTTTCTCTCTCAAGTTCCCACGAATTTGTCACAGAAAGGCTAAATGTTCTATCCAGGGTGAATTAACTCGTTGAAATTAATGTCCGTTTGTCTGCGCGGTTCTCACGAAATTGTTTCGATGTAATCAGACGTCCCTAATGAACAGATTACTTAATTAATCTGTTTCGAGACGCTGATGTATATCGCATGGAAGTGTCAGGAGTGAAAAATTTGCAATTTCTGGTTTATCGCCTGGGATATCTTTTGACAGATTTGCTGTTAGAAGAAATGTCACACGTTCAACTGTAATATTTCGTAATTTGCTAATTAAGTAATGGAAATTTTCTTTACGCTCTTCTGATAAATTTCATGATTTTGATTCGAGTACTATGGGTACGTTTAGTTTTTTGAAAATTCCAATATTTGCGGTGGAAAAAATATGAAAATATTCGTCACATTTCACGGACACTTGCACATGCGTGTGCGTTCAGTTTTTCTTTCTTTTATTCCAATATTTACGACAGAAGAATTATGAAAATATAGCGAATAACAATTCGTCACATTCGCTTTTCATGAAAACAGCAATATTTATGATAGAAAACTTATGAAAATATAGCGAGTAACGATTAATCACACTTCACGTTCACTGTTTTTTCAAATTTCAATATTTACGATAGAGGAATTATGAAAATATAGCGAATAACAATTCATCACATTCACTTTTCACGAAAACTGCAATATTTATGATGGAAACATTACGAAAACACAGTGAATAACTATTAGTCACACTTCACGTTCACCTTTCACGAATATTTCAACATTTATCCTAAAAAAAAAAATATATATATAAAAATACACTGCACAATCTCCTAACAAGAAATACACTTTAAAACGAACAAAACATAACTATATAAAAAATCCCATAATTTTTTCTTAACTTGAAAGAAATCTGAAGAGATTTACTTAAACAATCTTCATCTCGTTTCACGCGAATCGCGGCGTTGAAAGGAAGACACTTTATCACTGTTACGCTACCAGAGAACGAACGAAGGATGAAGAATTGTTCGATTACGGCTGGAGACCCTAAAAACCGAAGCCTTGTTGGTGGCTTACGTGTCTCGCGACGGACTTCGGTCAGTTCGTATCGTTTAGAAAGACCCAAGCCATGATGGCTTACATAAGAGAGCGGCTTTCTTTTCGCTCACGTTTGCCGGTTCATTGGGCAACGTGTATCGAGACGTACCTGTGTGCCGACACGCCGCGATATTGTGACGTTTCACGCTGGCGAAAAGTAACCCGTTCCTCTTAAAACGTATCGCCAAGGCCGTGCAAACATTTCTCCGCGATTCTGTTGACATTTTCACCTGGCCGGTTCCGAGAGAATCTCGCCGTTTGCCGAGGTACCTGAAATTTTGCTCCTTTCTTTTCGGGGAACGAGAAAGTAATGTGAAATACGAAGCCTGTGGAAATTTGTACGTAATCATCTTTATTAATCGTCTCCGTCGATATTTGGAATTAACAGACTAGGATGGTTAACAGTGATTTGAATTTTTTATTTTGGCATTCCCATTGCAGAGCTGAGAATTTGGCAAAATTTCATTTTTTCAGGGGAGAAGAAAATTCATCTTGCGAATTAACGTGGGATTGCCTTTGAAGTGATTTATATTTCAAACAAAATCAGTGCAAAGGACATTCTTTTTTCTCCTGAAAAATGAAACTTTTTCAGTTTTGCAAGTTTACAACTGGAACGACGATTACGATAACGTAAAAGTCTTTCTTCGAAACGTCTAACATTCCTGGGATGATAATTCCACGTCACGAAATCGTATTAATATATAAATCTGCTTAGTCACATGTTAACGATGACCATAATCCACGATCAATAGGAGGAACATCAAGCCACACACACGAACACATACATACACTTCCAGGATTATGTAATACGGATTTAGCATCGTCTAAAACACGAAACCGACGATTGTCGAAAAACCGATACGGATCTGGCTGTTAAAGGTCGCTATGTAGAATCGAATCGCTTTCTCAGTTCTCCGCGAATCTAAACCAATTCCGGCACTGTTGAATCACGAGTTGATCATTGCGCGGAACGCACTCGTCGCGAACGAGGAAAAGCCAACAAACCGTTTCGTAACATGCCTCGTGTGAGTAGATATATCGGAGGAAAGCAAGTGCTGTGAAGACGTTTCTATACCTTCCAGTAGCCTCATTATGGCCATTTATTGTTCTAATAACACCTTCAGGGAGAAGAACGAAAGTGTGTTATTTGTCAATTTGAACAGACGTGAAGAGTAATTTTTTCCGTGATAAACGAAGAGAGCATCGGCGTGCAACACGATGAGACGAAATATACAGATTATTATTTATTTCACTGTTAACAAATTTCTTTATCATTACGTTCGTTAATGATATTTACTGTTTTAATGGTACGATAAGTGAGAAGAGCTGAAGTGTACCCATTATTTCCGGAGAAGAATAGAAACAGACTAAATTTTTGTAAAAAATAAAGAATCCTGAATAAGATTAACGAATGACACGAAATATTGTTATTCACAAAGAACGACACATCATTCTCACGTACCATTCCAAGAAATTTCCTTACCACAATATTGTCACATCTAATAAACCATCGTCCACTGTATTTGCATTATTAATTCTCCTAATACAAGGTTTTTCCCCAATGTTCCTAGAAATATTTGTACCAATCTCGAGGCATCTATCCACTTGCACTTAATTTCCTTAGTAACGTGAACTGTTAGAACATCTCGGATAACGTCGAAATAGAAGAAAATTTCCTACCGTGCATTACGTGTATCATGCAAATCGAAGATTAGGCGAATATATATGCATGCATCTGGTTTAGACGAGCGATTTATGGCTGAAGTTCGTGTCGGATTGCAATCTTTCTCTATCGTAAAAGGTATCTGTGTCACGATTCATCGTAATTATCCTGCGCTCTATAACGTCGCTGATGTCTAGACTTTATTATCCCTATTATACCGAATTGCGTTCCTGCTGGGTTCTCTGAAAATCGTTCAGGTACACGCACGCTACTCGCGAGTTTCGACATTTCACGTAACATCCTTCGATGTAAGATTCGTGTGTTACTCTTGCACACGTTGAAGGAGGAGATCCGTCGGGAAAACGGTTAAACCCGCGGTGTGTAAGAGTGAATGGCGGGTAACGCGTGGTTTCTGAAGTAATTAACGGTGTGGAATTTCGCCGGAGGTGGGAAAGAGGGGTGCCTCCACACTCTATCTATGGCGCTTGCACAAAAATTAAATAGAAAGGGGAAATGTTTCGCGGCTGGGAAAATGTTACCCGAGCCGTAAAAAATATATACGACGGCGTTGTTATTCAATTTCTGCGCGGATTGAGCAATCGCGTGATAACCATCGGGAGGATTCTACTGTACGCGCGTTTCGTTGGATTTTACAACTTCTTTGTGAAGTTCTTCTGTGTGTTGTGTGATTTCATTTATTCGACTGTCGTAGAAATTCGATTGGAAGATGCTTCTTTTATTTTTTGTTGAAATTGGAAAGATTACAGTATGAATTAATTTATAATTCTTAGGTCACCCCTTTTTTAGGAGAATAAATTATTCAATTTCTAAGGAAATTCAGTTGAAAGACCGCTTCTTTTATTTCAAATTGAAATTAGAAAGATAGCAATATAATAATTATCTTCAGGTCTCCCTTTTTTTAGGAGAATAAATTATTCAATTTCTAAGGAAATTCAGTTGAAAGACCGTTTCTTTTATTTCATATTGAAATTAGAAAGATTGCTATATAATAAATTTATAATTCTCAGGTCACCCCTATTTTAGGACCACAAATTAATTAATTATTAAGTAAATTTAATTGGAAGGCGCTTCTTTTATTTGATATTAATAATTAGAAAGATGGCAATGTAATAAATTAATTATTCTTAGGCCAATCCTTGTAAGAGTGTAATACTGATATGAGAATTCTTTTCTTTCAATTTTATGAATTAAGTAATTAACGTTGGACTG